AGACTCTTTATGCTTCAAAAACTGGGAACAACAAGTTGTTCCTGCTAAAGCAATTGATGACCTTTAAATACAAGAAAGGCAGCCCTATCCTTGATCACATAAATGATTTTCAGGGCATCCTTGATCAGCTGTCTGGAATGGGAGTTAATTTTGATGATGAGATACAAGGACTTTGGCTTTTTAATACTCTGCCAGACTATTGGGAAACTCTTCGTGTTTCTTTGACAAATTCAGTTCCTGGAGGTAAGGTGACCATGGAATATGCCAAGAGTGGTATTGAACGAGGAAGTAAGGAGAAAATTTCAAGGTTCGTCCTCACAAGCAGATATCTTGGTTACAGAAGACCGGGGGAGAGATAGAACAAGAGGCTCGAGGAATAGAGATAAAAGTAGAAGTAAGTCAAGGTCCAAATACCATATTATTACATGTGACCACTGTGGCAAGAAAGGACATATCAAAAAGTTTTGCCACAAGTTGAAGCAAGACACTAGAGAAGGAAAGAAAGTTGAAAATAACGAGAATAATGTTGCTGCTATTGTTTGAGATGATCTTCTTTTTGCTTATGATGAAAACGTCATCAATTTGGTATCCCATGAGACGAGATGGATAGTAGATTCTGGAGCTACCTCACATGTCACACCAAGAAAAGACTTTTTCTCATCTTGTACTCCTGTTGATTCTGGAGTGTTAAAGATGGGCAATACCGGTGAAGTTAAGGTGTTTGGTGTTGGCACAGTTTGTTTGAAAACTAATAATGGTTCAACGTTAGTTCTTCAAGATGTCAAGCATTCTCCAGACTTTTCTTTCAATTTGATCTCCGCAGGAAGCTTAGACAATGAAGGTTAACATAATGCCCTCTTTAATGGCCAATGGAAGCTCACCGAAGGCTCGTTAGTAGTGGCTCGAGGAGTCAAGTCTGGTCATTTATATGTGACACATGGATCTATTCTTAATGACTCCATAAATCTGGTGGAAAGTGACATCTTGTGGCACAGAAGATTGAGTCATATGAGTGAGAGGGGGATTACGTGCTTGGCTAAGAAAATTTGCTTTCTTGAGTGAAACAAGCAAAGCTGAAAAGGTGTATCCATTGTTTAGTTGGCAAACAGAAAAAGGTTTCCTTTCATAGCCATCCTACCTCAAGAAAGCCCGATTTATTGGAGCTAGTACTCTCTGATTTGTGTTGTCCTTTTAAAGTAAAGTCAAAAGGTGGTGCACTTTACTTTATGAAATCATTCCCGTAAGCTCTGGGTGTATCCTTTGAAATATAAAGATCACGCACTTGGCGTGTTTAAGGATTTTAAGCCTTAGCTGAGAGACAAACGGGGAAGAAATTAAAATTAATTCGCACTAACAATAGTGGTAAATGTTATGGTCCCTTTGATAACTATTGCAAGGAACAAGGAATTCGTCAACAGAAAACTCCGCCCAAGACGCCTCAATTGAATGGTTTGGCAGAGAGGATGTATAGAACTAGTTGAGAGAGTTAGATGTTTGCTTTCAGAGGCTAAACTTCCAAATATATTTTAGTACTTAACACTGCTGCCTATGTTATCAATTTGTCTCTTGTTGTTGCTTTGGATGGTGATGTCCCGGACAGAGTTTGGTTTGCCAAAGATGTTTCTTATGATCACCAGAGAGTTTTTAGGTGTAAATCTTGTGTGCATGTTCCTAAAGATGAGAGATCGAAACTGGATGTCAAAACTAAGCAGTGCATCTTTATCTGTTATGGTCAAGATGAGTTTGGGTATCGTTTTTATGATCCAGTTGACAATAAACTTATTAGAAGTAGTGATGCAATATTCTTTGAAGACCAGACTATTGAAGATATTGAGAAAGCTGAGAAGATAGATTTTCACAGTAATGAGAGCTTAGTTGATATTTATCCAGTTTCAATTGCTAAGGCACCTATTGCACATGAAGGAATCCAAGACAATAATGAAGATAGCGATCAAGATCAAAATAATGATCATGGTAGATGTTATGGATGCTCCAGTTGATGAAGTTGTGGTTGATCAACAACCAATTCCTGCTCAGGTAACTACTTTGAATGCTCCTGAAACCTCTCTTAGAATATCTATAAGGGAGAAGCAGAAATCCATGCGTTATCCTCCTAATGAGTATGTACTTTTGACTGACATGGGAGAACCTGAGAGCTATGGTAAAGCCATGCAAGATACTCACAAAGATCATTGGATAAGAATGGCCGTGGAAGAGAAATTACTTGAGGTTGAAAAGATATACACTGATGAAAATCCTTCGGATATGCTGACAAAGGCGGTGGTTGCAGATAAGCATGTGTTTTGCAGAAAATTGGCAGGTATGAAGCCTCTCAATAGTTCCTCTACTTGAAGACACATTTCGCCCTTGGCTAGAGGGGGAGTTTGTTCGGCTCATGCTCATGTTGTCCATCCAAAGGCGCAATGGCCTAATCCTATTCTCTTTTGGTTTTCATTCCTATTCGGAATTGGATTCGGTTTTTGTTCCTATTTAGAGTTAGTTTTGGCTTTAAGGGAAAGCGCCACCTATGATCTATAAATAGAACAACCTTGGAGAATTGTTTAATGCTCATTAGTACAAGTCTTTGAAAGACTTAAGCACATAAGAGTGGTTTTTGAGAGAGCTTTCATCAAGAGATAAGAGAGAAGAAAAATATTCATTTCGCTGCAGATTTTATTCCGACCAACCAACTTCAAATCCTGTTTTCTGATTCGTTAACCGTTGGAATGGGCTGAAATTTTGACTGAGTGAACGGTGGAGATTTTGAGCCCCGTAGCATCTGATTTCAATCCCCGGACTGCAGCTCCAGTTTTGTGACTCATCCTGTTTCTTTAATTGATTTGTCGTTGCTCCTGTTGCTATTGTTGCTCCATATTTGACACTTGTTGTGTAGCCTATTTGGAGAACTTTTATAATCCTCTTATTTTGTAGTGGATCTTTTTGGATCTTTGTGATCCCGTGATTTTTACCTTCGATTTGAAGGGTTTTCCATGTTAAAATTTGGTGTTCTTTATCTTCTTTATTTTCGGGTTTGCCTTTTCCTTAACATAACAAGTGGACAACATAATTTTCGATCCTAATTAGATTTTTCTTTTCCTAAAAGGAATACATAAATCTTCCATATTTAGCGAGTCCCCTTGTTAGGATCGAAATATCAGGTGTCATGTGGAAGCTAGTAACGCAAATCTTGAACGACGATAAATCAGACAATATAAGAGAAATATACAAAAAGAGACACAAACATTTAACGTGGTTGGATCAACTGACCAACGTCCACGGCGGAGATGAGCAATCCACTATAAGAAAAAGAGTACAAAATATCAAGAGACAACCTCACGAAGAGGCAAACACAAGTGATTCACTAACACTTGTCCCGTAAAGTTCTCCCCTTAAACACGACTCTCAAACCCCACATTGTGGATGCTACTGAATGAGAAGGAGGGATTAAGTTTATTTTATCAGAAAATTCAGGCCAAGGGGGAGAATTGTTAGGTGTTGTCCCGATTTTCTTACCATATTTGATTTTCCTATCTCTTGAAGGAGAGTCAACATGTTTACCATAATTGGGTTTCCTATTCTTAGAAGGAAATGGCGAGTCCTTTTTCTTGTAGGAAAAGGTTTGGACTTCTATAAATTGAGGATCCTTCTTTCTCATTCAGTAGCACCCACAATGTAGCCATATGGGGTTTGAGAGTCGTGTTTGGAGGAGGGGGGGGGGGGAAACTTTACGGGACAAATGTTAGTGCGTCACTTGTATTTGCCTCTTCATGAGGTTGTTCTCTCGATATTTTGTACTCTTTTTTTATAGTGGATTGTTCATCTCCGCCGTGGACGTATGTCAGTTGACCGAACCACGTTAAATGTTTGTGACTCTTTTGGTATTTCTCTTTTTATTGTCTGATTTATCGACGTTTAAGTGTTGTTTTACTAGTTTTCGCATGACACCTGACTTTTCGGTTCTAATAGGGACGAACTTAAAAGTTTTGGCAATTTCCTCTATAATCCGAATTTAGCTAAAATAACAGTACAATGATAAAACTTATCAACCATTGACCTTTTAGAATTTATAAAATACAACATCACAGGTGATTAAACTTTCCTTCAAAATTGAATGGAGTTTAACCATAAAGGTTCATATGCCTTTGCTATATATGTCTGAATATATTTTTGTAAGACTTCAGTACCATTGAACCAAAACATTAATGAACACTAAATCCTCACTTAGTTGTTAATCTAATATTAAAGTTGACTGTCTTTTATTATTTCGTTTGTTTAAAAATGAATTGTGTGTGTGTGGGGTGGGGGGGGGGGGTTGGCGTGCGAGGTGTCAAGGGTCGATGAGAATGGGAGGT